CAAGCGAGCATTACCTCATCTAGACATTTTGATATCCATTCGTGAGACACACATGGCATAGCTCGAACCAAAGCAGCCAAATATTTATGTGTACGGTAGTGAGTGTCCGAGATCAAGAACCTTTCCATTTCTGGATGTTCGTCAACCTCCTAAAGCAAAAGGTCAGCTATTAGCGGAAATCAATTTGTAAGCTCGTATGATCAGAGAGCAAGAAACAAGCCAGCTTCTTCTCTTTGTAATCTTGGCATCTCAGTTTAATTTGTAAATATTGTTAAAGAATTTTCACAGTTTGAGGCGTGGTAATTTTTTTTCAGTGGCCCAACATTTCTAAGTAGGACCACCGCTTCTGGTCCATGGTATTCTTCAATGGCCCAAATGTGTTTCGAGGCGACTAAGAAAGTATAGATGCAGATTATTGCTGAAAACGCTGGTGGACGCTGAAAGTGGGTCACTACCTATACAAACTCGTAAAGACGCCGGATATTACGGATACGCGGTACCGCTGTAAAAAATTCCTACTCAAATTCTCAAAAACACATGAAGACTAACAAAATTAGACAGCCATTGACATGCCAAAGCCACTCACTTTCATATCATCCACAACCAAGCCTCCATGAGTGGAAATGAAATCGGTCATGAACTTCTTCTTGAATCCGGTGTCAGTATTTGGCCGATTTGCTGACGTCAATATGAACAACTTTCCAACAAATATTTGCTCATTGTGAGTTTCTGGAGCCTCCTCGACAGCTTCTGAACAATAATATGCTGGGTAAATGGGTAGGGCAAATGGTGAATAATATAAGAAGGCGATATTAACTAAACGAATGTCTGGTGGACGTGATTGTCATTCAGGTAAATCGTTATCTTATGACAGGACACGTCGTATGTTGTGGGATCCCCAGCGAGGGGGATCGTATTAAGTCACTGTAGAGCGGGAGGGGGGAGGGGACGAGGAAGTCCTACTTGTTCCCCTTTATATATTTTTCCCGTTGTTGAGTTTTTTCTATTTCACCCCTTTGACGTGCGGTGTTTATAGCCCGCCCCAACGGTAGTTTTTTTTGCAGAAGAAAAAGAAGAAGAAAA